ATTAATATAAGTAACTTTCTCACTAATTTTCTTAATACTATTAATGAAATACTCAAAATCCTTTTTAAAAATATCATGATCTATTTCTGTTGTGCAGACTTCCATTCCTTCTTATTCTTCTCATTTGGTGAAAATTTTCCAATTTTGAAGAAAGCCTTGTATTATTTAATAGCTTCCTTGACATTGTTTGTTAATCATGCTGGTGACCTCCAGTACTTTTTCTGATCTATGGTATACGTTCCAACCGTGGTTCTGTGATTATGATTTTGAATAACAACCATGTGAAGAGACATTTGACCTCTTTAGGTTTTCATTTTTTTCTTCTACCACTTATTTATCATTTCTAAAACTCTTTGGTTCCCTATAGCTAAAATGTTTTAGGTTGACATACAATGACTTTAATTTTGGTTGTTGTGGGTTTTTCGGGCTCTTTGGCCGTGTTCCGAAGGTTGCTCTGAAGATGCCAGCCACAGAGACTGGCGAAACATCAGGAAGAACAACCTTCAGACCGCGGCCAAAGAGCCCGAAAACCCCACAACAACCGGCCGTGAAAGCCTTCGCGAAGAATTTAATTTTATTGTACTGTACAATTCCTCTGCTAGAATGTCACCAGATTAACTTTCAGTGGAAAACTGCTGCAGGTTCACAAGTCAGATGATCAGTGTGAGACAGGAAATGCCTATATGAACTTTTTGATTTGTGTCAAATCACCAGTGAAAGTTGTGCTGCTGGTATTATGTCAGAGAACATAACTTATAGGATTTCAGGTGCCACAACATAAAATAAAATCCATAAAAACCAAATAAACACAATCAAAGGGCCAGAAACTTTAATAAAGCTACAAGAAAATCTAACAACACCATGGACATAGAAACCACTTAAACAGAGAATTGCAGCATGGATATAAGACAACTAAAAGACCTGAACAAACTTGATACCTCATTCTGCAGTAAAACAAGTGAGGCACCTCCCTTCCTTGAAACATAGGCTGCTAGTATTAAAGGACAAAGAAATTGTTGAGGCTAGAAAAAAATGGGAACCTTTGTAAAATTGGATGAGAGATGAAGACATGAATGGGTTAAGATCATAAGAAAGAAGACTTACGATATAAATGTAAATCTAAAAGGCTTAGAAAAAAATGTCAAGGTTAGTGTGGAGTAAGCTTAGTAAGAAATATAGATAAAAGCAATAATGATATAAATTGTTCTCTGTCACATTCTGTATTTTTACTTCTCCCTTACCTAGTTCCAAACCCCCTTTCCTATGTGATTCCTTGACCCAATGGAAAGTGAATAAAAAATATTAAACAATAACAAAAAAGAAACATGGGCTGTTAGTTGGTCTAAGAATATGAAAGGGCCTTTGCCTTGTGCTGAAAAAGTAAACTAGCCACCTGCTAAATCTCTCTGAGGAGGTTATTACATAACAGTACTGTGTATGTGTGTGCCTGTGTAGGCTGCAAGTCCAAATCCCAAGTAGTAACTACACCTCGACATGAGCTGGTGCTTGGGGCAGGGCCTCTGGTTATATGGGAAATTGCATTCCTTCAGAAACTGTGGCTCTGAAGCAATGAAGGGTTCTTCAGATTAATATCAGTGCTTTGAACACGGTCCAAATACAAACTGGGAGCCAATGAGGGCTAGAAATAATGGCATACCAAAATCGTAACGCTCCATTATGTACACCAGCTGCCATATTGTGTGCTAATGTTACAGTAATTAATCCTCTCATTTTTCAAAAAAAATTCTCTTTCAAAGTAAAATGCAATTGTGTGAGACTTTCTTGAATAAGAAATAACTGCCACGCATCCACTAACAACTGAAATCAAAGAGAAAGTCTCAAAATGTCAAAAATAAACAACATTAAATGTTGATAAACTGGAACGAATCTGACACATTTCAGCCCAGAATATACTTTGAAGCCTTCTTTAGGGGTTACAATGAAAAGACTTCACAGACTTCTGAAAATAATGATTTGACCAAATAACTAATGGCAGGCACCAGTGGTTCTGACGGCCGAGTTAAGGTTTTTATGCATACTGCACTGACGGTATGGAGAAAAACAAATTTTCAGAGGGATATGCTGTCATGACCAAATAAATATTGGTCAGATTCTGGCAAAACCCTATCAACATGACCATCATTCAAGTCTATGCTCTAATTACCAGTGTTAAGGAAGAGGAAATTGAAAGCCTTTATCCAAGCATCCAAGAAGAAACTGATCTCACACGAAAATAAGACATGCTTATAAACATAGGTGTCAGGAACATCAAAGCAGGGAACAAAGTAGAACCAAATGTGTTTGGAAAATTTGTCCCTAGGGACAAAAATGAAGCAGGAGAATGACTTGTTCTGCAAACTCCACAATATATGCTTCAAGCAACCTAACAGATGGCTGTACATGTGGACATCACCAGATGGTCAATATAGAAAGATAATTCCTGCAGTAGAAATAAATGGGGGAAAAATAGATGGATCATGGAAGAAACCCTTAAAATTGTAAAAGACAGATGAGAAGCAGAAGTAAAAGATGACAGAAGTAGGGTCAGAACTCTGAATGCAGGCTTTCAGCAACGGTCATGTAGTGACATAGGGAACTACGTACATATACCCGGATTTCAAGGTGTATTTTTTGTTATGTCTGCAGAGGGCAACCAGGGGGAAGGGTTGCCCACTCTTCTGTCCCCAGCAAGCTGCCCTGTGGTCAGGTTATGACTTCTCCAGTCCCCTGGGTGTTGGGCCCTTCTGCTCTTCTTCCCAACCCTGAACAACTGCTCTTTTCCTTGACACCTCTTTCCTAATCGCTTCTTGCTGCTCTCCTTACTGTCACGCTGCCACTGCCTCTCTTTCACTGATCCAGGAGCTGCTGCTGGGAATGATGCCCAGAAGTGAATGAAGCCCTGGCAGCGTGTGCTCCTGTTTCATGCAAGGATGGTGGACTAGATTGAAACCACATCCCCTGAGGTCTGTCAGCCAGTGCTAACCCATGTTGGCCAACTGGAAACTGTCTGCCTGCTTCCGGCTGCTGGATCCCAAGGGGCTTTGCAGCATCACCATGCAAGCTTTCCATCTGAGCTATATTCCAGAGAGAATGTAGTAACCGGAGAAGCATTAAATAACATTGAGTGCCTGCCTGTCTTGGACCAACTTTAGCAGAAATAAAAGCAGCCTTGGATTCCCTCGCCTCTGGCAAGGCACCTGGGAAGGATAACATCCCTGTTTAAGTGCTGAAGTGCTGTAAAGAGATCAACACCACTGAGCTGTATGAAGTTTTTGTCTTTGCTGGAGGCAAGAAGGAGTACCACAGGACATGAAGGATGCAAACATCGTCACATTGTATAAGAACAAAATAGAAATAGGGAGATCCCACAATGAAGAAAAACATATTCAATGAGCAGTTAGAGAAAGACTATAGTCAACAGGAGATAGGGAATAACAAACAAGGAAATAAGAGGGTGGTGGATGATGTATGCCAACCACGGAGGGGTTGGAATGAATCAGAGGAAAAAAATTAGATCTAATTCTAACCCTGGAGCCAAGGAGAAGGCTTCTGGGAGTTTTAGTCCAAGAACATCTGGAGACCCAAGGCTGGAAACCACTGCTTTAGTTGATCCATCCATTTCCCAAGACACTATCATTTGATGGTTTTACAGCTATTGTGTGCCTCCTAAAAGACTGTGATGTATTTCCCAATACTTAGTTGTTATCCAATGTGGTGTAGTGCAGTGGTTCTTAACCTTGGGTTACTCAGGTGTTTTTGAACTGCAACTCCCAGAAACCCCAGCCAGCACAGCTGGTGGTGAAGGCTTCTGGGAGTTGCAATCCAAAAGGGGACATACCTTATATATTAGAACAGGAAATCAAATTGAAATAAGGGATCATTAATCAGGGTTAAGGCATAACAAGGTGGTGGTTAAGATAAATTGAAGCTAGACATAAGAAAGAGGTAAAACAAATAGTACTTAACATATATTAGATATGATATTGATATAGACATGGCAGAAAATGTGGAGATAGAAATGATTAAATAATTATATAAAGAAAATCTATATAAAATGTTTTAGATAACATTTATAATGTGTTAGGAACCTATTTAGCTATTATTGGTATAAAATATTGTACAAAGTTGATCAGTTAAACTGCTTTAAATTAGATAGATTTGAAACCAAAATGAGAGCAATATTATGATTGTAGCCAATATTGTACACTTAAATATATACATGATTGGTTCACTGTTTTAAAAATGTAAAGATTTTGAAGGGACAACCAAGATACCAAGATGCAAAAACAAATAATTATAAGCAACCCATGTAACACGATGTTTAAAAAGCACAAACTGAATGTAGATAGACTGAAAAACTAACAAAATGTTAATTTTTTTAAAAGACACTTTTTGAAGCGAGTTCTCTTCTCTTCCACAATAGTCCCTCAAACTTCATGTAATCCATCAATCTGCTAATGAATTCCTTTACACAACACAGTTCACCAGCACAAGTCCTTGGACTGAGCTCTGTAGCATTAGACTAAAGACCTCCCTTCAGTATGACACAGGTCCATTAATGTGGACAGATGCTGAGGATAACATCTCCCTCTGTTGTTCTTATGTGTCATCATGTCAGAACCAATTCACAGTGACCCAAACAGAGTTTTCAAGATAAGTGAAATATTTAAGGAGTAGTTTTATTGGTTCCATGCCCCCTGTGAGTTTTCATGGATGAGCAGGGATTTGAACCCAGGCCTCCTGAGTCCTAGTCCGTCACTATCTACTGCACCACACTGGGTAGCCCACTCTTTAAACAGGAATAGCAAAATCCTTCAAAACAAAGCTGTGCCTTGTGCACTGGGCACTGGCCAATGTTCCTGTAAGCAGTTTCAGCTCCACTATATCATCTAGTATTATTGAGTAGGGATGTTACAGACAATTACTTTGCTAGAACAGACCTGAACGTCAGCACACCACCAACCCATGTAGGAAGCACTTACTACATGTCGGATACTTACCATTTTTACAGATTGGACAACACTGATCTGGTTCATATACAGGGTCCACACAGTCAGTTTGAGGACAAGCAGACACCGTGCACACTACTTCCCCATTGGCTTCACAGCGGCATTTCTCACAAGGTGAGACCTAAAAATAAACCAAACTACATCTTAATTCAGGGATTGGCAGAAATCCAGCTTGGGGACCTGCTTTGTTTTTAATTAGATTCCCAAGGATCACCAACAAAAAATTGATACAATTGATACCTCTGGGTAGTGTGGTCGGCATATAAATTGAATTAAAAAAAACTGTGGCTTGCAGGCATTGCAGAAGCAGATGCAAAATGGCTGCTCAGAGTTGAAACCAATTACCTACTACACTTACTCTGGAAGACCAGCATATAACAGTATGCCCAGAACTTGGAACTTTTAATTTCTTTTAGTAAATATGTTACTTGCTATTTTTGGCAAAATAAAATATTTTTTCAAAGCTAAAATGTTGATTTGTTCTCCCTTTTAATTAATTATACAGTTATTTATTCATTAAAATATAAAAATAGTACACATTTATCTTCAAAAATGTTTTAGAAATAACATGTAAATATGACTTGTTACACAAAAAGCAGCTAACCCTTGCCAGTTACTTCGAAATTTATGCTCCCAGTATTCTTCCATCCTGTTTCAGTGAGTACATTCTCACATGTTCAAATTATATCTACAATATTCTGTGTTGTACATCCTTTTGTTTTACATATTTAAACATCAAGTAAACATGCTGATGCCACTTGGCTTCTTGAGCTCATGTGGTCAATTTGTTCAGGTGAAAAAATGTAGAACAGGGATAACTAGCATAACATTCTCATTGGGATAATATACAAAAGGAATGGTTTACCCTCAATATAGTTGCAGTCAACCCTCGACTTACAAATGGCCCTAGTTACAAACATTTCGACTTACAAAACGCTCTGATAGAAAAATATTGACTCAACCTGCAAACTTAGATTTGAGTTACAAATCGGAAAAAAAAAAGTGCAGGACGTGGGGAAACTGCGAAATTTGAACTTTTAGTTAACCATTGGCCAGTGAAGAGGGTGTCTTTTTGCTTCCTCACTCTTCCAAGTGTTTTGAGAGTGGATTTGGAGACAGTCTTCAGACTGCCTGGTACTGCCTGGTATATGTTTTAGAAATAACATGTAAATATGACTTGTTACACAAAAAGCAGCTAACCCTTGCCAGTTACTTCAAAATTTATGCTCCCAGTATTCTTCTTCCATCCTGTTTCAGTGAGTACATTCTCACATGTTCAAATTATATCTACAATATTCTGTGTTGTACATCCTTTTGTTTTACATATTTAAACATCAAGTAAACATGCTGATGCCACTTGGCTTCTTGAGCTCATGTGGTCAATTTGCTCAGGTGAAAAAATGTAGAACAAGGATAACTAGCATAACATTCTCATTGGGTTAATATACAAAAGGAATGGTTTACCCTCAATATAGTTGCAGTCACCCCTCGACTTACAAATGGCCCTAGTTACAAACATTTCGACTTACAAAACGCTCTGATAGAAAAATATTGACTCAACCTGCAAACTTAGATTTGAGTTACAAATCGGAAAAAAAAAAGTGCAGGACGTGGGGAAACTGCGAAATTTGAACTTTTAGTTAACCATTGGCCAGTGAAGAGGGTGTCTTTTTGCTTCCTCACTCTTCCAAGTGTTTTGAGAGTGGATTTGGAGACAGTCTTCAGACTGCCTGGTACTGCCTGGTATTGCCTGGTATTGCCTGGTACATTGCTGTACAGACTGTATTTTTTTTAGCTTTTTTAAAAAAATTGATTGTTGGATTTTTAAAAGGTGTTCCCTCCCTCCTTTGCTGCCCCCCTTTTCCCCAAAAGGTGCTTGTATTGGCTTGTCTTGGTTGTAAAGGTGCTTTTTAAGGTGATGAATGTAGAACAGGGATAACTAGCATAACATTCTCATTGGGATAATATACAAAAGGAATGGTTTACCCTCAATATAGTTGCAGTCAACCCTCGACTTACAAATGGCCCTAGTTACAAACATTTCGACTTACAAAACGCTCTGATAGAAAAATATTGACTCAACCTGCAAACTTAGATTTGAGTTACAAATCGGAAAAAAAAAAGTGCAGGACGTGGGGAAACTGCGAAATTTGAACTTTTAGTTAACCATTGGCCAGTGAAGAGGGTGTCTTTTTGCTTCCTCACTCTTCCAAGTGTTTTGAGAGTGGATTTGGAGACAGTCTTCAGACTGCCTGGTACTGCCTGGTATTGCCTGGTATTGCCTGGTACATTGCTGTACAGACTGTATTTTTTTTAGCTTTTTTAAAAAAATTGATTGTTGGATTTTTAAAAGGTGTTCCCTCCCTCCTTTGCTGCCCCCCTTTTCCCCAAAAGGTGCTTGTATTGGCTTGTCTTGATTGAAAAGGTGCTTTTCAAGGTGATCTGTTGTCTGAAAGGTGCTTGGTTTTTTCCAGAAGGTGTTTATCTTGGCTGAAAAGGTGCTTTTCAAGGTGTTCTGTTGAAAAGATGTCTGTTCCCTCCTTCCCTCCCTCTTTTCTTTCCTTTTTTTAAAAAAACCTAATTCATCTTAGGTTAAAACCCCTAGTGGTAGGAACGGATTAACCAGCTTTGCATTAGTTCCTATGGGAAGTAATGATTCGAGTTACAAACCACCCCTCGACCTAAGAACCAAAAACAGCCGGAACTGATTAATTGGTTTTCAATGCATTCCTATGGGAAATGCTGATTCAATTTACGAACTTTTCAACTTACGAATTTCCTTCCGGAATGGATTAAGTTTGTAAGTTGAGGGTTGACTGTACTAATAACTACTCAAATGTGTATTTTTCATCAACTTATTGGAGTGCAAGCACTGAGACAGCAGATGGATGGCTCTGCCTTTCGACAGGATGATAGATTGTCTGGCATTTTAGTTCCAACTCTGTGATAAGAGTTGGAACTAACTCTTATTTGATCGTCATCAAAATAGAGCTAACTAAAAAATATTGAAATATAGTACTTGTGTGAGGAAACAAATTATTTAGGAAATGTTGCAAAAACCCTACTACTTCTGCTTTTAAGCAGATTGCTGCAATGCTAATATGGAAGTACACATATTTTTCTGTGTATAAGACGCCCCCCATGTACAAGACTTCTAACTTAAAATTAAGCAATCTAAGTGAGGTTTTCAAATGTAGGGTAAAAAGGATCAAAGTGCTGCAGGATGGCTTTGATCCCTGCTTTCTCCCTTTGTACTAAGCCCCATGTAGCTTAGCAAAAGGAAGAAAGGGATCAGAGCAATTCCACGACTGCACAATCATTTTGATTCCTTTCCCCCTTATACAGTGATGGGACTGCTTTGATCCTTCCCCCTTCCTTTTGCTAAGCCCCATGGGACCTAGCAAGCAGAGGGGAAAGCAGGAATCAAAGCGATTCTGCAGTACTTTGATCCCTGCTTTCTTTTTGCTAAGGCTTAGCAAGTGGAGGGGAAAGCAGGGATCAAAGCCCTGCAGGATCACTTTGATCCATGCTTTCCCCTCCACTTGTTTTTTCTCCTCAGCTTCCGTGTATAAGATGACCCTCAATTTTTAGTCTAAAGATTTTAGCCAAAAGTATAGTCTTATACACGGAAAATATGTTAAATTCGATTGTGTTCAGGCAGCTTTCTCCCAGGTTAATAAAACTCTAGCACAGTAGGTTACAATGCTAGAAGCCTAAAATTATGCACTCCAAGAGTTGGAAAATAGGTTGTCGACTACCATCTATAATGCCATCTAATTACAATTTGGATGAAATCCTGTTCTGTAAATTGCTTCATGTTAGGCTGATTATGTCCCAAGCCACAACAATTTTTGGGAAATAAAACATTTCATTTTCTCCCCTAAAGGTCCCAAGGCTCCTATGGAATTTCTTTTCATCACCAGGATGCAGCCATGGGATGAGAGGGAGAAGACTTTAGTTATGAAAATTGATTCTGCTGATAAAAACAACCTCGTGGCAGCAATCTTTGGTAAATAAAAACTTCCCTCATGATCACATACTGTATGGCTTCTCAATGATGGAAGTGATTCCAATGGGACCTTGGAACCTTCAGAGGAGAAATTGGGTATATTTTATTTACAAAAAAATCATAATTTATAGAATAGGATTTCAGCCTTTATATAAATCTTACCTAGTACCGGTCTCTCCAGGCAGTTAGGTGATGCAACCTGCTTAATGGCACTGAAAATCCTGTGAGCTAGTTGGTCTGACCCTTTTGTCTGATCCATTTATCCTTAGTAAGGGGCTATGAACTGTAAAATGTCAATGTAGGAGACTAATTGTGCAACTAGATAGAACTATCAGATTAAATTGGCTTGCTTTGCATTTCTTTAACTCAAGTCCCTGTTAGCTTCCACTGCTGAAATCATTGTAACTGTTCACATTAATAATACGTCCCATTGCAAGAGTCCACAGCTCACTTTCTGATTGCTTTCTTTTGCATGTTTCCCCTTAATTTCTCGCTTTTATATGGAAGCATAACATTCAACCCCTGACATGTTGGACTCCTTTTCTCCCCTTTTCAAACTGAAACAGTGATACTTTGAAAGGTTTACCAGCCTCCTGTAGAGCTAGGGGCTGTGCCATTAAAATTAGAATGGTAAATGTTGTAGAAGAAAAGATAAACAATGTAATTGTCCCAATGAAAGACCAGAGATGAGAAGAAATCATACTAATCAGTAAACAAGGCAACCTAAGCACTGTAGTCTTGGCACTTATCTGTCAGCATTAAACAGTCAGATTTTTTTTTTAAAAAAAAGTAGAAAAATTGTTTAGAAGAGGAACTACAGTGGAATTATTTGCTGTAATGATGTACTGTGCTCCACTGAATGCATCACCATCCATGTCACCCTACGTCGTGCCTGCCCTTTTTTCAGACCAAGATAGGTTATCATACACATCTGACAATTTAAAAAAAAAGTGATGTGGGAGAACTGGTTCAAAATAAACAATCCCGTGGCAGCTAAAGAAAAAGAATTTACTGTCAATGAAAATACATTAGCTTTCTAGACGTTTAGGTTACATCATGTAGTCAATGAAAAAATACATTGATCTTAAGTGTGATAATTCTGATGCAAGAGC